AGACATGACGTCCACCTGAGACACAGCGTCTGTCTGAGACACAATGTCCCACTGAGATGCAGCATCGCCATGAGACTGAGCATCCCAATGTGAAATGGTGTGTCCCTGAGACACAGTATCCTCCGGAGACACAACGTCCCCCTGAGACGCTGTGGGGGTGCAGGTGACAGACTAGAGTGGGGAGGCTCAGACTGTCGGTGGTCCAGACATTTCAGATGGGGACTTAAATGGTCTTTGAGGGGTTCAGGGAGAAAAGGAAGCAAATTCTGACAATCAGGCGATGAAAGATGTCCTCCTCCGTCCCCGTCCTGCAGCTGGAAGTTGGACTGATGGGTTAAAGGTCAGGACAGGAGGCATGATGCAGACTTCCTGTTGTCTGGTGGGAATAGTCCTCAGAACTGCAGCGAGGCGATGAAAAGTCTTGTTGCAGATCAGCAGCAGCTCAGGACGGTTTCTGTCTCTGCCACAAACAAGACAGGAGACAAAAACCTGCTGGTATAAATAATCAGGAGACTCAGGCTGTCCCTCCTGAGGGGTTCAGACCATCATCCTATTTTTACTGGTCCTGGGGGAACGTTGAGCATCTGCTGTTTTGAGCACTGATTGGCTCTTCAGTCTGTTGACTCATTCATTCATGTCAGGAGCTAAACACAAACCTGGTTCAGGTCCCTGGTCCAGTGGTTTCAAAACCAAACCAGGACCAAAGAAACTGCAGACAGGCTCAAAGTTTTACAGAAAATAGAGCTGATACAATCTCTGCAGTTCTGCATGGGGGGTTTGGTAGGTGAGGTGCTCGGTTCTGTTGACAGGGCAGGGTGCCATCCATCAGTACTGGGGTGGAGGTGGGTGCTGCTTATCATCTGAGGAAACCGTTTTCTAGTTTTTATTTTGTTTTAAAGTATAGTTTACTCAAAATGATTGGGGTGGCCAAAGACTAATCTATGGGGGTGGAGGCAACCATTGACACTCACCTCCAGAATGATAAACATTCACCTCCAGAACTACAAACATTCACCTCCTGAACTA